AACTAAGAAATCCAGTGCACATTCATCACTGATCTTTTCATTTTTCTAACGGCTAGATTCAGAGCCGATTTGGACTATTACTAAGAGAAAAAACAAAAATTTGCGTTGCCTTTATTGTCTTCATGGTAATGGCGCTGCAAAATTGGCCTTAGAATTTGACAGTAATGGGGCTGATGCTCAGAATGACGCGTTCATTGTCATGCCTTTTCCCCTGGCCATTGCCTTCATTCACCCCCTACTCCACTTTTATATGTTAAATTTTGGAACATCGGAAATCAGTTAGATTGAGAAAAACGCTTTGCTAAAAGCTTTTGCTCACCACATATGTAAGGTGCACAATAATTCCAGGTGCCAATTTTACCAACAACGTTGATATTACAAGAGGCGTTTCCCGGAACGTAGACCTTGAGCATTTCAATGAGTCTGACATCCAAGCTGTATACGATGAAATCATGCGGGGCTTCAAGAGGAATTGGACTTACATGTACTTGAACGAAGACACTGAGTACCAGTATGTCTAGAATTTATAATGCCCTTTTGTATTTTGAGATTGTCACAATATAGTTTCGAAACTTCTAAGCTACTAGTATTAAGTATCATTTTGATAATTGGAGCTTTCATTGTTCACTTTTCAAAGGTCAACGGCCAGAGAATAGGTTTTGTGCTTGAGGCAACTGTAATCCTTATCTTTCTCCAGCGTTTCACCGTTGATTATTTTATCTACGGTATCTATGCATTTAGTGCTTGAAATAAGACACCTATACGATACGTGTATGTGTGCATCACTGTTGGAGTTGAAGATTCGCCATATAGTCGGTGTATAAAACGTTCTACTTTAGTTTTCTTTCGACACTTACTCATGCAATTTTTTATGTGCTCCATAGTTGTTTCATTTATTGAGTCTCCGCAAAAAGTGTAGCTTTTCGACTCAATTACGATAGACAAGCTACTTGGATCGCATTCATTGCGCATCACTAGCTGCCGCCTTTCAAAGATTCTTTGTTTATTCGCATGATTCGCTACAAATTTCAGCCATTCTTTTTACCTTGTCCAACTTTAATCATTTTCAAACATGTGCTAATTTTTGGAAGAGACTTTGTAAGAGACAGAACAGCTCAAATAGTGCAATGCTTTTTTTGCGATTGTTCCACTATGTTTTTTTCAAACTTTGCATCTTGCCAAAGAATAGAGTGATACAGCACAATAACCATAAAGCTTTGGATTTCGAAGTTATGGAACTTCACCAGCGGTAAACTGCTCGACATAGTAACAGTTAGCGCTCAGCGCTTCTTCGCAATCTTTAGAAGGCGGACGATGCACGGGGAAAGGCATGGAGTCGTAAGTGAGGAAGCGAGACAATTAGTTTTATAGTTTTTCGTCTCAACAAATAATCACGTAAGGCAATCCAACATCATCATGAGGAATGGCAACAAGGACGGCATCGGCATCGACTTAGAGTTGTATAGAAGCCTACATAACTGTGTAGCAAGGGGACCCATTACGATAGAACAGCGACAGTTGAGAAAACTGTCAACGATTGCAGCACAGTCAGTAGAGCATGAGCAGCTCAATAACCAATTAAAAATACAATATAAATTGTGCAAAAGTTCCATGCATGCAAAAAAGCAGCCATGGAGAAAAGACTGCAATATAAGGGAGAGCAAAAGTCCTAATGGGCCTTCCAATGGCTCAAAGGCACCGTCCACCCAAATCCTGGGATTCCATGTTTGTGTCGCTTCCAGGCCTTCTGAAGGTCCTGATTTCGAATATAGTATCGAGAATCTTCGAAACCCCCAAATACTCGTTTTGGAAGGGTGCAATGCAGGTCGCGGCTGCGGGCGCGGTTATACACCGGGCGCGTCATTTGCAAAGCTGCAAAGTGGGAGAGGGAACAGGTGGGCGGAGTGACCATCGTTGGATTGCGTCTCTTCCGGAGCGGATTTCTTGCTCCGGAAGCAGCCTTCTGCTGCGCAACTTGGGGGTTGAATAGTTTAAGGGCCCACGCTAGTATGTCATCATAATCTCATCAACCCCAGCTTTGGGTGAACGGTGCTTTTAATGACATCTACAATGTCTACAGGAAAAAACCTAAATCACATGCTTTTATGCAAAGAGCAATTTTGATATTCTGCACAGAGCCCTACTGAATCAAAAGGAACTTGGAAGGCAGGAGCCTCTTGCAAATTCTGCGAAAATGGGCACAGATCGACGAGCTGCCAAAAGATACTCAACACAAGGCCAAGTATCTCTGTTAGAGCAGAACTGCTAGATTTATTAAGGCTTTCTTATGATTTAATTTTCCTAGTTGTTTATCATCTATCAGTACTTATTTAGTAATTTATTTTACAAGAGAGAAAATTTGTTATGTTTCTGAATCTACGCCTTAACGCAAGTTTTGTAAGGCTTTCTACGTATGAGATTAAGTTGGTTTGAAAGCTGTTGTTACTTATATTTGTCCATGATCAAATGGTATGGAGATATATTTTAAAAAAATCTTTTCTCGCTTAGTCGTTGTATATTTTTCGTCCCACTTTTTTGCCTTGTCCAACTCAGCTGCTTAGAATTCTATTTTGTAAGAATTAAATTTTATTCAAGAACTACGTACTAGATTCGATATTTCAAGACTCCCACTGATAATGCAGATTTAGGATGATGTAACGAATCAATTTTAGTTTTAAGATCCTTGTATTGTAGCACGACGTGATTCCCTACAAAGGCACAGTTGTGACCGAAATACACGTCCTGATAATTTTGCGCAGAAAGCTAATTCAGTAAGCAGAGCTGGTTTGCCGCTAATAATACTTGAAATTTAAAGGCATTTTCCAGGTCAATTGGAGGGTGATGCGGTTTTGACGCAGTGCGAGAGCATGGCTCCTGACTAATCCAACAGTAGAAGTCCGATTGACAAAGGTGGATTCTGAAGCGAGGAAATCTTTCCGGAAAAAGGGACGATCCGCCAATCCCACCTCCTTGACAAGTTTTGACGTGGCGAATGCTGTATATCTAATCTATTAACCACGTCAAAACTTGTCAAGGAGGCGGGATTGGCGGATCGCCCTTTTTTGCGGAGAGATTTTCTTGCTTCAGAATCCACCGTTTTCGATCGGACTTGAACTATTGTATTAGTCAGGAGTCGTCCTCCCGACTGCGTCAAAACCTATTACCCCCAAACTGATTTGGACAATGCCTTTGAGAAGCTTTCTTGGTTTATGTCGTGATAAATCGCTCAAATTTCTGAAAGCAAGGTTTTGAAAAGTTATTTCAAAGTTTTCTGGAAACGCAGTTGGAAAGAGCGAAAGAAGCACTGCATAACTTGTGTTCTTACAAAGTTACATACCGCATTTTTTCTTCTCTCTTGTTTCTTACAAAGCTTATTTGAAAACGTCCGAAATTTATTGAAGTCGAACAAGGCAATAAAAGATGGTTTCAAATTTTCGCCACTTCAAGCGATTAAACAAAAATTTTTCAAGATAAAAATACCGTTTTGAGAATTGTCCATGCAGCTGCCAATCGTAACATTTCACGCCCAAAATTTCCACAAACTTTTGCACAGATTGCAATCGAATTGACTGATAAAGCACGTAGAAAATCAGTAAATATCAAATTTCATTCATTAGAACACATCGTGTAAGTCTTCTTATTTCATACAGGTGCGCAAAAATATTCAGCAAACAGATGTTAAAAAAGATAAGCAATACAGCTGCGGCAAGCATGAAGCAGATCCTCAGATTGGAATTAGAATGAAAATTGAACGATGAAACCTTGAGTGCCGAAACGAAGCGCGATATGGAGAAGCAGTTTGTAAGCTTTGAGACAAAAATGTGACGGTTTCAAAGTACAAAAAGCATTACGACTTTAGACCTATTGATTTGCAATGCCTACGCTCAAGTACATGTAGATCCAGTTCCTCTTACGTGAACCCCCACGATCTCACTATATACAGCTTCAATATCCAAATCATTGCAATGATCAAGTACATTGAGAGATACACCTCTTTTGGTATTTAACGTTATTGGTGAAATCAGCACCTGAAATCATTTTGCACTTTTCGTACCAGAAAAACAAGAGCTTTGCCCAGAGCGTTTCTCTAGTTCCAACGAAATTTCATTGATTAATCAAGATTCAACGTAAAAAAAGGTAGAACCAGAGATATCAAGAAGAAATGGTTAAGATGTATCCTTGCCAAATTTCAATGTTGATAAGCACTAGACCTTCCAAGTCACAATAGCTCCAAGTCCACCTTCCCCTATTTGTACAGAGCTTACGAAAGCCCCATTGCCAAAAAAGCCTGACAAGAGTCTTTTCGTTGCTTAGTCAATGTCTCTGATTAGGATGATGATGATGCAGTGCAAATTTCTTTTGTTTTAGCAATACTAGCACTTACTCTGTCCTAGTCGCTAGATGACGACGAAAACCGTGATAAATGTGTACTGGAAGTTTTTGGTTGTTGTAGCTCAAAATTTGGCAATCACTGGATTTGCTGGATAAAGACGCCCTTGCGCGTTCAAATTTTTTTTTCTTCTTTCTTCTTTTGTTCAAAGGGCCGGGCATACCAATAAAATTTCCATCAATTTGAAGTCAAGCAGGGTAAAATGTGAAAATTGTGCTTAAATTGCAGAAAAGATGGAAAGTAAGCTTTTTCTATGTCAAGTTTTCTTTCATCAACGAAACATTAGAAGGAAAACTGAAGTGGAACGTTTTATACTCCGAATTGCGAATTTTCAACTCCAACAGTAATGCACACATACACGTATCGTATAGGTGTCTTATTTCAAGCACTAAATGCATAGATACTAGATAAAATAATCAACGGTGAAGCGCTGGAGAAAGATAAGGATTACATTGCCTCAAGCATAAAACCTGTTCTCTGGCTGTTGGCATTTGTAAAGTGAACAATGAAAGCTTTAATTATCAAAACGATACTCATATACGCAGTAGCACTTACAAGTTTCGAAACTATAATTGTGACAATCTCAAAATACAAAAGAGCATTATAAATTCTAGACATACTTGTACTCAGTGTCTTCGTTCGAGTACATGTAAGTCCAATTCCTCTTGAAGCTTCGCATGATTTCATCGTATACAGCTTGGATGTCAGACTCATTGAAATGCTTAAGGTCTACGTTCCGGGAAACGCCTCTTGTAATATTAACGTTGTTGGTAAAATCGGCACCTGGAATTATTGTGCATCTTACATACGTGGTGAGCAAAAGCTTTTAAGCGTTTTTCTCAACTGACTGATTTCCGATGTTCCAAAATTTAACATAAAAAAGTGGAGTAGGCGTGAATGAAGGCAATCTTCTGTCCATCAATCCCATTACTGTCAAATTCTAAGGCCAATTTTGCAGCGCATTACCATGAAGACAATAAAAGCAACGCAAATTTTTGTTTTTTTCTTAGTAATAATCAAACCGACTCTGAATCTAGCCGCTAGAAAAAATGAAAAGATCAGTGATGAATGCGCACTGGGTTTCTTATCGTAGCTCAAAATTTGGTAACCAACGCATTGTTTCGTAGGAAAAAGAACGTCTTTTTTCCTTGTTCTTCTTTTATTTATTTATGTTTATAAGTTTGTGTTTACGTAAGAGAACTTTCAAGAAATCAATCCGCACACTGTGCATCGAATTTATAGGCACGTAGATGAGATGCACGAATAATCATGCCTCACGTTGACACAACAAGGCTATCTGATGCACGTTGAAGCGGTTCTCTCTTCCTTAACCCATTGACGGCGACGCCTAATTTTGCGTGGCGGCGCTGTGTGACGCGCGTGTGGTTATTTAAAAAATGCAAGGTTCTTTTGTTGCAATCATAAGCATTTATTGAACGACGGAGTCTAAGGTTCCAAGAATGCATAGAATTGGAAGAAATATCAATTTTTGGAAGAAACACTAGACCCAGAAAGGGCATGTCTTTGCAACATGTGTGGATCACCCATGGTCCACACCGTCCCTGGCAGCAAAAAGTGCGTGAGTAACCACATTGTCCTTAGTGGGTTAACATGTTCTGTAACAACGAGGCACTGAGACCCAGATCCCTGCTTACCTTGCAAGCTGATGATCACAATCCTCGTGTAATTATAAACCGGGTCAATCTTCCAAGCGGGCTTTTCCTCCTTGCTGCAAAACGGTACAGGTAAAAAAAGTAGCGACATGGTATGTTTTTGAAAACTGTTTGATGTAGTGACAGCTATGCCCACCAGACACGTTCGTCTTACATCTGAACAGCACTCATTCGCTGTCCAAACCCAAAATAATGCAAAAAAGGAGATTCTGACTCGGAAACTTCTTTATTGATTATGCAAGTTTGTCTTTAACATTAAAAACTAACGGATCCATAGCTTAGTAAGCGTCCAATCAAGTTAAACTGCAAAGCCGCACTGGAAAACAAGACCGTCTCTTGTGGTAGAGGCATTGATGACTTTTCTTCCAAAGCTGCTGCTTTAAAGACACTTTTCTAAACTGGCTTTCCATGTTCAGGTTGTCTGCATTCAAAAATTATTAGAAACCGAACTATTTTCCTTTCTATCTTGCCGAATTTAAAAGCAATGAATATTTTCATGCCACCACTCAAGAAAATCAATTTTACTCCTCTTACCTACAGTGCAGAAAATTTTGTACTTTCTTTGCGCGACGGCTTGGCTTAGTAGTTAAAAATGTGGATATCTGAGAGCCTCAATTTTTTATAGGCTTATTTTCATCGTCGTAATGGTAAAGAAATTGAAAAGAGGCTTTTGAGATAATCCAAAAGTGCGCGTAACTTTTCTGTGTACAACCTTTAGCTCGCTCACATAGTGACGATATATCGCTGTTATCATGAAGTTCAGATCTTTCCATTTTTCGTCGAAAATGTCACTGTGAGGCAATTGATTTTATCAGCAGAGGCGTGTCAGAGCCAAAAAGTGATGGGGATACTATCTCAATGAGAAGTAACGCTGCCATATGCCTGAGGTGGAAGCTCTCAAGCATTCAACAGAAAGGGTGGTTTTGGTTCGCTGTCTCTGCGCTTGTGAATTCAATCTCATATCGTTTTATCAGTGACGCTGCTGAACTACTCTATTGTTAGAGAAAAGAAAAATCATTTTCAATGGGAAAGGAGGAAAATGCAATGCTGAAGGAGTTCACGCTAGAGCCAGCAACGAATGGTTTACCGAAAGTACAAATTTGGCAATTCCTATTACCTAATTATAATTTTTGTAAATATTCTGACTGTATAATTATTCTGACTTCATGGCTTACAGGAAAATATCTGTTAAATCAAAACTACGAAGTGCACTTTGTAACCCACCTGCCCGTTAAGAATAGCAGACAATTTGCGGCATTGTTTTTGTCGGTTGCATTGTTGATGTGATCAATAACGCTGTAATGTACTAAAAAATAAATTTGAAGTAATTCTGTGGGATGCTCGGAAAAGTCACAAAAGCTCACTTTTCACCATCAGGAGGAGAGCGATAGTCACCAAAAGCAACAATATCTTCTGCCTTCATACTGAACTTTGAGAAATCAGCCATCATATCACCGAAAACGTCCCCAAATTTCTTCGCTTCTTTCACATTACCGTAAGCCCAAAGGCCTGCACTTGAATTTGAGCTGGTGTCGATAACTTTCCTACCAAGATCCTTGATTAATTTCCTCTGCTAAAGAAAAGATTTTATTTGTAGGTCTTTCAGAATTATACATGAAGCACATGTTCAAATGTCGAATGCTCAATAGTCTTTTCAGTACCTTAATTGACTTGCTAGCAACGTTGTTATGTATAGAGCAGCTTACCCTGTCTATTTCATGAATTTGTTTGAAATTTTCCAAGTCCACTGCGAAGGCACAGTGTATATCGAGTGAACCTGAAGCTCTACATACGCATACGTCAAAGTATGCCACGTATAATACAAATCATGAATCAGCATTAAATAAAGCAGATTAACAATTACTACGAGTTACCGCTCAGTAAATATACCCTGTTGGTTGCATTTGATAACAGTTTTATCAGTAAGGACAAGTCAGTATAAAGATTTCTGTCAAGATTTCTGTCTGTGAGCGACACCTTTGGTGCGTTTTGATCCAAGAAAAATCGCGTAAAATGGGGTTAAGGTGCCTTTTGGTTCTTGCTAAACAGAGTAGAAAATAATAGGTTCTAAATAAAAGCTCTTGTTGATTTTAAACAAAATTCGATCACTTTTAAAATCCTCAACTCAAATTCACCACTTTTGTTTCGCAAAAATACGAGAAGTTTTTCGCTCCCGGTGTATGCCAAATAGTGATTCTACGAGCATGCCGAGAACAGAACTTTTAAATATGGTCTTATGAAGGTTACGATTTCGAGTTTAGATCCAAAACCGCTATCTAGCCGCAAAATATCCACAAAAAAAATCCTGCGCAGCAACTGTTCATAGAATGCAGTGGCAGTATTTCATCCCCTATAGAGATGTGGAAACAAAAAATTCAACAAGAAAGATTATTATTTGAGAGTGTTTTTTGAGAACAGGCGATATCAACCTAATGTTTCAATGAAACTATGAAAAGTTTTTTCCCACTCAAATTTGTACAGTAATTGAGTGGTTTTCCCTGTAAAATGAGATTTACGCAAATTTTTGTTTTTGCATTTTCATGCGAGATTGAAGCTTCATATTGATTTATGGACTACTTTGTGTAAAGAAATATTGGAACACACAACTATTGGGAAGAAATTTCGTTCCATTTGTAAAAAATCTGTGGTTTGTTTGAATTTCAACAGGAACTTTTGCTGCGAAACTATAAAATAAGCTGATAGACTTCTTTTATTGTTTTTCTTGGTTCAAACCGCAAACGGCACAGTCTTTTTCTATGATTGCAAAAGTATTCTAACAAGTACTTCTTTTATTGGAATTATTCTTGCAAAAATGCTGGCTGTTTGGATTTATAAAGTAGTAGCCCAAGCTCAATCTCAAAAACATGCATAGATTAAAATACATTTGTAAATATAAAACCTGTATATAACATGCTTCACTTTTACCTCAGAAAGATTTCCCAGCATTCTCTACTCGACTCTGAAACCATGTAAAAAAGTAACGGCGGCTCACGCTAAAGGATAAATTGCACCTAGAAACATCTCCTCATATTTGTTAGGTTTTTCCCTTGATCAACGCTCCAAACTGTTGCAAGGCTTTTGAAATCAAAAAGAACTGTGTTAAGAAGAGTTGTAGCCCTTTGTATGGAACTGCAAACACAAAAGTATCTCATATTGCTGTTAAATTATTGTAACATAAAGGCTTTCAGAAAACTTCTCGCTTTTTCCATAACTTATAATTTCTTTATTCGGAGCAAATCTGGGCATCAGTCATGCAACTCTCAAAATGTGTCCGTCTCTAATGTAGTCAGATACCTTTTTATTTTGATGGCTAACAAGTGAAGGCACTAACAAAGTAGACTTTCCCAATGAGATGTTAACCAGGAAACGTCTTTACGCGCAAATTCCAAAACGAACTTCTATATCTTCTCAACTTTACTAAGCAAGATTAGAGGCAATTTTCTACTTCCAAATTGCATGGTCAGGTAATGTCTGAAAGACGTAAGCTCGAGTAAATGCGAATTTGCTTCGAAGTTACATAAAGTTACATGCTCATACTTCTGAGATATATTTATTGTACATGAAAAGTTGTCGGAATGATTTTGAAGCTATTCTGCTGCTTTAATCATGTGACAAGCGGCAAATCCACTATTTGGGTTCAAACGAAATGTCGTAATTTTATAGCTTTATCTAAGCAGATAAGTGAAGCATCTTCGTAATCAACATTTCACGATGGATATAATGGTATACATCTTGGTAGGGAAGGCCATTTTGAGTCCAATACCTTTCCTTGATGATCACAAATGCTTGTTTGAAATAACCTTCTTACATAACGAAACACAGAAATATTTTAGCACGTTCTGTACAATGTTGAATAAGTTTGAATTTTGGAATTTTGTGCTTATGTAATGATCCAAAGATGAAAGCAAATTTTTGCTTCTGCTCTAAATAAATGGAAGCGAGTGACATAGCAAACGGCCAAACATTCACTGCCATAGGTGCAATCGGACGCAGTGCAGCTTAAATTTTAGCTTGAGTGGCTTTTTAACAAATATGTTTTTTACTTGCGCCCGTATTTCGATAAACCGCACTTTTTGGGATTGCAATCTCGTCATGAAATTTGTTTCAGAACCAAGTAGTGTCAAAAAGAGCAAGAAAAACTCTTCTTAACGATACAAACAGTGTCGCACTGAACGCGAAAACCTAGTAGAATAAGTGTTTCGATCACAATATAACAAAAGTTGGCCATAACTTATCTAGCAGCCTAGTATAAGAATTGCAAATATATTGTGACTGAGATGCCAGCTCATTAAACTGTTAGCTAATACTACGCTACTAAAACAACATGTTGCATACAAATCAATGTTTGAATTAAATACCCTAAACTGATCGCAAAGCCAAAATCATAGGCGAATGATCATGATTTTAGCAGTATAAACGCACAAACCTGGCGGTTTTGTGGTCGTAATTGTTGACTTGGTCGTATTCTTAGCATAAGTGGTAGCAGAAGTCGTAAATATCAGCTTCGTGGAATTAGTCGCAGTACTTGATGTACTCCTCCTGTCCGTACTCACACTACTGGTAATAGCCTTTGTTATGGTGATAGTCGTCGTGACAAAATTAGTGTTCGAAGTGTTCGCTGTTTCACCTGAAAATTTCCAAAAACTTTTGAGTTCTTTCACATGCAAATTTGTTGTTGAGACTTGATTATTTATGCACAGCTTCCAGTCTGCAAACTGAGAAAGTTGTCAACATTATGGCTGCCTTTAAAAACGACAATCATGCTGGTTACCAATTGGATTTACTGACTGTGGAATGAAAACGGAAAAAAGTCTTGAAGGCAGTGGCTCGGCAAATCTCAACCTAGTCAAATTCTCGCTTACTTGGGGTTATTCAATACGCGGATCCCGAAAATCCACTTTTGAGAGCTTGAAAACGGCGAAAACGAGCATTTTTAAATGCCTTTCCTTTTGGAATTGGACTAGTGGAGCAAGGTCAATGACGCTGAACCGTTGCGGGACCCAATGGTTATATCATTGCGGCGGGCAGCCTCCAATGGTAAGAAGGAAATTGCAAACTCGTCCGGGTGCGTGTAAGATTGGCCTGCGCGTGTAAGCTGGAGGCAATTTTCTCGGCAGGGAAGGCATGCTGTGCAACCGGGATTGCACTGTTTTCATATTTGGGTGATAAGGAACCTACCGCGTAAAAATCCTGAGTTGTTGAGTTTTGCCGATCCACTGCCTTTAAGTAAAAGGACGAAAATCTTCTTACTTTGTTCGAGAAAAGAATGGCTATTGAATACGTGGAGCAGTACCTTCCTCAGTTAGCCAACTGCTAATCTAATTTCTCTTCCCTGGTCGAAAACCACTACATTTGTGCTACTGTATTTTACCTTGTTCAACTTTGGCTGTATTCTGGAGTTCCAGTTCGTTTTTGAGGAAAGGTTCAATAACAAATGAAGCAAGCTTTGCATTGCTTTATCAAAATACTCAAACATCGACTGTCGTCAGAGCCTAATGGCAAGTGAATGAGAGCACACTGTTCGAAATACTATCAGATTCGAAAATCTGATATTGGCTATGTATGATATTCGCTTTTAAAGAAAAATCTAATTGTAAGTTTGAAAAAATAAAAATACATTGCCGGAAGACTTGCTTCATCTGCCTGTTTCTACAAAATTCAAAAATGTTCAGTGATTTAGACAAGTGAAATGGAGAATTTGGAAATTTTGAGAGTAAATGAAAAGTAAGCATGGCTGCTGGAGAAAGAAGGAGAAAGACAAGCGGTGCCAAATTGCTTAAAGGTAGTGTCACCAAAATTCGGATGTTGGGATTTTTGGATAGTACAAGCCTTTTCAATTCTATTTAAGCCTATGCAGGTTCAAATTTTCACCTCGTTTTGAAAACCTGCGTAAACAACTTAGACGGGATATTTTTCTGCTCTAGATTGCGTCACAGCTTTGGACACGTTTGAGACGAGACTCTCGCTTGGTAGATGGTATTGAAACACAACAAAGAACCGGCTATTTGCCAGCGCGGGCTAAGTTGCTTTCTGCAGGCCATTCAAGTGCAATTTGTGCGAGTAGAAGGGACCAGATTCAGAGACAGCTCTTCTGCACGCTCGCCATAGCAGCCTAAATAGTGCACGCCTCTAACTGATTAGCTTTTCGGCAGCGGTTGGTTAATTGGGACTCCGAATCATTAGAGGTTGAGACGCGCAGAACGCACAAGTTGCGCAAACCAAAAAAGGGAAGGATTAAATAAAACTTCAAAGGTTTTTACAAAGATGTGAATGCTGCTCAAATTGTTGTTTTCACTACTTGAGCTCAAATAAGTTGTCCAGAAAAGTGCACTTGCATGCTCGCAGTGCTCAAAACTATATGACAGTTGTGTAACGGCTGCATATTACTAATATCGTTGCTAACAACTCGTTTAATGTGATAGGAAGAGTAAGCGGGCGCATCGTTGGCTTGCCACTAATTAGCTCCAGGATGACGCGGTACAAATTAGTATACACTTGACCAAATCGAGTCGGGCTTAGGCTCAGTCTATTTAGGAGCCCGTATAACACAGGAGAATGTTTCAAAATTGGCGATATTCACTTTGTGCTACAAAAGCTTTGAGGGCCGCTACCTAGCCCCAGAAATCTGAAAAAAAATTTTACTTACAGGTATCGATACTTGGTGACCCCGGCCATTCATGATGGTTTGTATATAAAAAATCCGCCTTTTAATGCCGGTTCGATTACTGTTTTCCATATGAACCTGCACATGGAGTTATATTTATTTTTTCAAAAATGAATTGCGCTAGTGCGAGGGTGAAAATCATGCTTTCCTCTTCAAATGCTAAATATGATCTAGATAGTATAAATACAAGGTTACACCTTTCAAGATTCTCCTCGATAGCTTTAAGCAGTAATATCAAATTGGTCATTTTAACTGCCTGAAAGTACGCAAATTTTCTACGAAAAAAGTTCATTTAACCTTATATGGTCGCTTCGCAGATTTCCAGCACAGGTTTGGAATCAGCGTTTTGAGGTGCACCTTGTGGTATGCATCCCATTCCAAATGGCTCACCAAGTATCCTTTCCTTGTTAGATAATCCGTACATTACTGACAGGATTCAATATCCCTAGAAATGATGAAATGAAAAGGCATTTTACCAGATAAATCTTCTATTTGAGGCAAGTGAAGCGGCAAAGGCGCTGTTTGACGCCCGAAAACGTCACAGTGTTAGTTAGGGCACAAGATCCTATTCCCGAAACTGTAACTTGAACGAAGCTCCGAGTTTGAAGCTGCGCGTTCAATACTTCAGTATACTCCTATTCCTGAGCTTCATGCTACTTTGGATAGTGAATTGTCGATGAAAAGCTCTTTGTATCTTTATTGGTGACGTTTCAGTTTCTTATAAAACCATCATCAGACCTTAAGTTACATGTGCAAGGCTGAGAAGAGAGAAACGCAAACAGAGCGCACCTTGTGAGGGAGGTAAGGGGAGCGGATGAAGCCCGCTAAGTTGCAGGAGGCGACGTCCGCGTGGTATAGTGCTGTTAGTAATGAATGAAATGTATTCTCCATCTATGGGCTTGTTGATGAACAAATCAGTATCAAGAATTCATTCATTTCTTCTCTATTATTTATTTTCGGCTGGTGTTTCCTAATTTCATAAGCCTCCATAATATTCCTCTCCAGAGTGTTCATTTTATTGCGATGTAAGACTGTGATCTTGAAGTTTGGGACTGCTTCCATGGTGCGCTTCGAAGTCCTGTGCTTAGAGAAGCTTTTTAGGATAAGAAGCAGGCTGAATAAATGCTCTTCTGTGTTCGTTGAGACCCTTCTGGTTTCGCCAATGTATTGTTCTCCACATCCTTCACACGTAATCATGTATACAGTATAACGTAAATGACAAATGGGTTTCTCCGCGCAGTACGAACATTGGTTGTACACGCACTTCCTTTCATGAACTCATGTACATGTTAGAATTTCTTTCAACGACGGTGGTGGTAGAAATATTAACCTGACTGGCAATCCAGACTTCTGTACTACTTTGTTTAACAGTCGTGCAGGCTTATCTCCGATGTGATACTGCCAGTGGAACGCCGTCCGAACTTGAGTAAGGCCTCCAGGTATTTATTACGTCAACCGAACTACCGTTATCTTCGAGAATAGCGTTGATCTGCTTGTCCACTTGGAAATCCGGGGACGAGCATAATTTCTTCTTTGTTCTTAAGATGTTTCGTACCATGTTGGCCTTCACATAGATCGGGTGTGCGTTTCGCGAGTGTAGTATGACATTGGACGAGGCAGGCTTTTTGGATCATCGATATTCAGGATGACCTTCACAATACTTCCTTGAATAGGATCTTGTGCTTAACTAACACTGTGACGTTTTCGGGCGTCAAACAGCGCTTTTGCCGCTTCACTTGCCTTATATAGAAAATTTATCTGGTAAAATGCCTTTTTATTTCATCATTCCTATGGGATATTGAATCCTGTCAGTAATATAAGGATTATCTAACAAGGAAAGGATACTTGATGAGCCATTTGGAATGGGATGTATACCACAAGGTGCACCTCAAAACGCTGATTCCAAACCTGTGCTCGAAATCTGCGAAGCGACCTTATAAAGGCAAATGAACTTTTTTTCGTAGAAAATTTGCGTACTTTCAGGTAGTTAAAATGATCATTTGATATCACCGTTTAAAGCTATCGAGGACAATCTTGAAAGGTGTAACCTTGTATTTATACTATCTAGATCATATTTAGCATTAGAGGAAAGCATGATTTTCACCCTCGCACTAGCGCAATTCATTTTTGAAAAAATAAATATAACTCCATGTGCAGGTTCATATGGAAAACAGTATTCGAACCGGCATTAAAAGGCGCATTTTTTGATATACAAACCATCATCAATGGCCGGGGTCACCAAGTATCGATAACAAGGGAATGGTCAGAAGTCGAAGTGGCCAATCCAAACAAACTGCAAACCATTCGATGCAGCATAAAATGCTGATTTCAAATCGGTCTTCTTTATCTGCAGAGCGCCTTTGTAGGCGAAGTTATGAGCAGCTTTATTGCGAAAAAACCGTATGCAAAAACTGCGAAATTAAGCATATTATTGCTCTTTCAGCTCACCTCTAGGTACAAGTCATATGAAGTGACCTAGTTGCATGTTTTGATCCAACGCCGAGCCAAGAATGGCTTTGTACGGCTAAGTTTGCACTTTACACGCACAATTTCTTAGCAAAATAATAGCCTTCAACGGCTTATAATTTCGTCCACAAATGAGCTCTGCAGATAAGGAAGAGAGATTTAGAGTCAGCGTTTTATGCTGCACTTAGTGGTATGCAGCTTGTATTTATTGGTCACTTCGACTTTCTTCTGACCATTTCCTTGTAAGTAGAATTTTTTCAGATTTCTGGGGCTAGGTAGCGGCCCTCAAAGTTTTTGTAGCACAAAGTGAATATCGCCAATTTTGAAACATTAAATACGACACGCTCGTTTTCGGTGCCTAGCTACTGTTGAACATCTGTCATAAGGCGCAAGCCTTCTTCTATTTCAGTAACAAGATTATAAATTTGGGTGCAGGCGTTTCAAAGGTTATTGAATCTTGGGAACTACGCAAAAAAATTTGGCATCAAACTTAAAACTCGAGGAAGCAAAAATGGCTGGGGCTCCTAGCTCCGAATTCCAAAAGAAGGGCTGCCGCCACGCCAGCGAAAAATGTTTTTTTAACACTCATTTAATCCTCGCGTTTTTCCAGCCCGCTTTTCTTAAATTTGAATTGACCAGGATGATGTGACTAAGGCCCTTATGCACGTACATCCCCGCGGGGAGGGGAGGGGATCTGAGATAGGAAGCGCCATATCACACTGCTTTAGATATCTTTCTTCTTTCTTCTCTATCGTGCTTATGAGGGTTCTCATACCTTTATATCTGCGCATAAAAGATGCCAGGTTACTGCTATACATTAAATATTCACTATTTCTTCCGTTCCCCTGGGGATCCCCAGGGAATCATTTCAGATTTTCAAAGTCGTTTATCTTCCTGAAAAATGAATGAAAACGCTGCAAAATTGTACTGAAGATATACTACGATACTGCTGAGCATGTTTTCGACAGAAGAAATTGAATTTGAAGATTTTGATTTTTTCGATAATCCCTGGCTCGCGAGCAGCGGTTCATCGAAGATTTTGATATCTTAAGATTTCAGTCATTTCTACCATAAATATGTTCAGCAGTGCTGCTGTATATCCACAGTACAATTTTAGAACATTTTCATCGAGTTTTCAGAAAGATAAATAACTTTGAAAATGTGAGGTGATCCCCTGGGGATCCCCAGGGGATCAGACGAAATAGTGAATATCTAATCTTGTATGGCAGTAACCTGGCATCCGTTATGCGCAAGTATCAGTGTATGAGAACCTTCAAAACCAAGACAGAGAAGGAAGAAGAAAGATGCATAGCCTAGCGAGATGTGACGCTTCCCCTCTTAGATCTCCTCCCCTCCCCGCGGGGATGTACGCGCATACGGGCCTAAGCGATTATCGGCTGGCTCGTCGGCCCTTTCAAGAACGAGCCGCGTGACGCAGGTATTGAAGGACAGGATGGGTTTCGCGGCGTTCGACTGTGGTATCGAATCAGAACGAAGCGAGCAGGAGTGAGCTTACTGGAATACAAGGCGTTACTGCTCACCCCTTTCCACCCCTTCTCATAAGTCTGGTCTGACTTTGATAATTTTAAAAATTATGAGGGCATAAAAATTCAGTAGCACATTTTTATGATTCATGTAAGTTACTTTCAAAAATTTAGCGCTCGGGGGGGGGGGGGGGGGAGACTTCTCGTCTGCTACTGCTACATTTTGGTTACCTGCTTCTGTTTCTTGATTTCTAGCTACCCAATAAAAGCAGCAGCTGTACATATAAGTGTTAGGTAGAACTAATGTGTTGCCTCATAAGTCTTTTTCGTTTTTACTTTCTCCGGTAAAAAGTCAATCTTGTCTTGTTCTCCTAATAGGTTTTGTGGTACCCTTCGATAGAGCAAAGCAAGCTTTACAAAAAAAGAGGCCAAATGTCTGTAAAACATTCCATTCGTTTCGCCTGAAGCTCCAAGCTAAAATCCAAAGGCTCTGAGTGCCAAAAAAAGTCAAGAAAAAATGGTATCCCCGTTCAAGAAAAATTCTGCGCATCCTACTTGACCAAGCGTATATTCTCCACATCCGACATTTATATATTCGGTGGATGCAAAAGCTCTTTCGGTTTTTGGACGATCCCTACACCCTGTATTAGTAAAGCTAGACAGTTTCCTCAAACTGTGCCCTACGCAGGATTCCTTCCTCTTTTCAGCAGATACATATGGTCGCGTTGCTATTCCCTCGACTCGACAAGCACTGAGATAATTGCGGAACCCTTCATTGTTACCACGTTTAACTTTCCTAATTTTCAGAATTTTCACTTGCACTTTCAAATGTGCTCTCATACGTACCTAACAATGCAAACCTTTTGCAAATCAATGCAATTTTTTGTACTTCTCTGGAATGTTTCCTGGAATTACTATGATATACTTTCTGAAGTGACCATTTTATATTTTGACTTTTCTAATCTGGAAAAACATGAACAGTAAACACTGCAGGCACTGTTCGGTGCACTCTTTCTTCTCTTAATAACAGCTATTTTTTGCCGAACATGCTACTTTTGCAAACAAATTCCCAGCTTTTTATTTTACGGGTGCGCAATGGTGTATCCAAAATTCTAAAATCTGCGTATTTTTGAGCAGCTCGCCCAGTTATCAGGTTGTAAAGAAAGTTCCCGGGCACTTGCGAAATTTTTTTTTCAAATTTCTGTAACTTAGAGCAGATTGATCCTTTTTCAGAGCTACAAATTTCATTGCGAAGAGAATTTCGTCTACAACGTACATTAGGTTGAAACGAAAGTTCTGTCGCACCACTTTCAAAAAATCACAACTTCTTTCTCTCACAACAATTCTGCACAATTCGAATTGTTTCATAAAGCGTAATGCATGTAGTTTCCAAAGGTCTTCTGGGGACTTTCCAGCATGCTCAGGTTGCAGAGATAAAAATGAAAGAACGAGATCATTCGAAATTCGGAATTTT